AAAAAAAAAAAAAAAGACCACAAAGTCCTGAAGGCCTTCTTTGGAGGCCTCTGGCAGCTATGTCAAACAGTCCACAGGTGGAGAAAGCTATATTCTGCATTCATACTGTCCTCTGAGCCACAAAGAGTTTAGTCATGCCAACAAAAGCTGTGATCCCTTCATGGTAACAGGACCTACTTGATTGTGAACCACCCACACAGTAACAGCAACCCCCAAGACTGAAAGGTTAAACAATAAGGGCTTCATAATAGCATAAACCAGAGAAATGGGAGGCAGACTGTTTTTAGGATCATGACTTGGAGGGTAGAAAATCTGTCAAGATTGATGTGACACCCACAAGATCCCTGAAAGACATAGTCCGTCTTTTCAAGTCAACATAAGAGTCCTCTGGGATAAAAATGGGTAAGGTCCATGGCACAACTTACCAGACAGAAAGAAATGACAAAGAAATGCCAAAGCTACTCAAAAAATCCTTCTGTAACTAGATCAGGAATTGCATGTTCAAAAAAAAAAAAAAAAAAAGGTCAGGCATAGTAACGCACACCTGTAATCCCAACACTTTGGGAGGCCAAAGTGGAAGGATCACTTGACCCTAGGAGTTTAAGACGAGCCTGGGCAATATGGCAGGACCCTGTCTCTCCAAAACTTAAAAAATTAGCGAAGCATGGTGTTACATCCCTATGGTTTCAGCTACTCAGGAGGCTGAAGCAAGAGAGTCACTTAAGCCCAAGAGATCGAGGATGCAGTGAAATGTGAATGCACCACTGTACTCCATCCCGAGCAAGAGTGACACCCTGTCTCTAAAAAAATCTAGTAAGGTAACTGGATAGAGTGAAAACTGCGCTGCAACTGCCACATGCTTGCAACTTTTACAGACGCTCAATAAATGACATTCAATCTAGGCAGGGGGCACCCTCAAAGGAGCTCCCCCAAATGTTATAATGAAAAAGAAATAACATTCCATATACATCTATGGTGTTTTTCTCATGTCAATGTTCGAGGTTCCAATTAGAAGGCTGCAGGCTTTCTTGCATTCATTACACTCGAAAGGCATTTCTTTTCTTTTCTTTTTTTTGAGACGGAGTTTCGCTCTCGTTACCCAGGCTGGAGTGCAATGGCGCGATCTCGGCTCACCGCAGCCTCTGCCTCCTGGATTCAGGCAATTCTTCTGCCTCAGCCTCCTGAGCAGCTGGGATTACAGGCACGTGCCACCATGCCCAGCTGATTTTTTGTATTTTTAGTAGAGACGGAGCTTCACCATGTTGACCAGGATGGTCTCGATCTCTTGGCCTTGCGATCCACCCGCCTCAGCCTCCCAAAGTGCTGGGATTACAGGCGTGAGCCACCGCGCCCGGCTCGAAAGGCATTTCTACAGTGGGAACTCTCCTGTGTGTTATGAAGCTAGACTTCTACGTAAATATCTCACATTTGTCACACTAGTAAGGCCCTGATCCAGTGTTAATGCTCTGATCTTGAAGGAGCAGAGAGGTATGGCTACAAAATTGCCAAAATTTATTTCATTTGTCTAGTGTGAACTCTCTGATGTCCAGGGAGAGCAGACCTTCCTTCAGGTAACTTTTTTCCCACATTTGCTGCAATCACAAGACCTTACTCCAGTGTGAACTCTCCTGTGTTGAATGAGACTGAGTTTCAGCAAAAGATTTCCCACATTCACTACACTAAGGCCTTTCTCTTGTGAACCCTCTGATGGTGAAGAAGTGAAAAGCTTCAGCTAAATTTCTTTCCCCATTCACTGCACCCATAAGGCTTTTCTCCAATGTGAACTCTTCTGTGTTTAGTGAGACTGGAGATTTCAGCAAAAGATTTCCCACATTCACTGAACTCATAAGGCTTCTGACCAGTGTGAACTCTCTTATGAACACAGAATTTAGAACTCTGAGTAAATGACTTCCCACAATCATTGCATTTTATATAGCTATTCTCCACTGTGAACTCTTTGGTGTGCAATGAGGTGGTCCTTATTGCTAAAAACCTTCTGACCATCCTCACACTCATATGGCTTTTCTCCAGTGTGAACTCTCTGGCGTACAAGGAGGTGAGACTTCTTGTTAAATAATTCCCCACATTTATAAGGCTTTTCTCCAGTGTGAACTCTCTTGTGTTTAGTGAGACTGGAGCTTTCAGCAAAAGATTTCCCACATTCACTGCACTCATAAGGCTTTTCTCCAGTGTGAACTCGTTTATGAACATGGAATGTAGAGCTGTGGGTAAATGACTTTCCACACTCATTGCATTCATATGGCCTTTCTCCAGTGTGAACTCTCTGGTGTGCAATGAGTTGGTACTTATGCCTAAAAGATTTCTGACAGGCCTCACATGCATATGGCTTTTCTCCAGTGTGAACTCTCTGGTGTGCAAGGAGGTGAGACTTCTTCTTAAATAACTTTCCACATTCCCAACACACATAAGGCCTTTCTCCAGTATGACTATGCTGGTGTTGAATGAGGTTGCCCTTGTGACTAAAACATTTCCCACATTCCCCACACTTATAAGGTCTTTCTGTAGTGTGAACTCGCTGATGATTCCTAAGGTGTCCTTTTTCATTAAAAGACTTCCCACATTGTCCACACTCATATAGTCTTTCTCCAGTGTGACTGCGCCGATGATGAACAAGGCTGCGCTTATGACTAAAAGATTTCCCACATTCTCCACATTCATAAGGTCTTTCTCCAGTATGAACCCACTGATGGCTCCTAAGGTGCCCGTTTGAACTGAAAGATTTTCCACATTCTCCACACTCATAAGGTCTTTCTCTAGGGTGAACTCGCTGATGTAAAATGAAGGTGCCCTTATGACTAAAAGATTTCCCACACTCTCCACACTCATAAAGTCTTTCTCCAGTGTGAATGCGGTGATGGTTCCTAAGGTGTCCTTTCGAACTGAAATATTTCCCACATTCTCCACACTCATAAGGTCTTTCTCCAGTGTGAACTCGCTGGTGTAGAACGAGGTTGCCCTTTTGACTAAATGATTTCCCACATTCTCCACACTTATAAGCTCTTTCTCCACTGTGAACTCGCTGATGGTGAACAAGGCTGCGCTTATGACTGAAAGACTTCCCACATTCTCCACATTCATAAGGTCTTTCTCCACCGTGCACTCGTTGATGGCTCCTAAGATGTCCGTCTGAACTAAAATGTTTCCCACATTCTTCACACCCGTAAGGTCTTTCTCCAGTGTGAAATCGCCGATGTTGAGTGAGGTAGCTCTTTTGACTAAAAGATTTCCCACATTCTCCACATTCATGAGGTTTTTTTTCACTGTGAACTCTCTGATGATTACTAAAGCTATCATGTTTGCTAAAGGATTTCCCACATTCACAGCACACGTAACATTCTTCTCTAGGGGGATGTGTCTGATGCTGACCAAGAACATTTTTGGTGCTAAGATGTTTCATGCATCCTCCACCACCGTAATGAATTTCCCCCCGCTGAAAGAGAGACACACACTCAGTTTTGCTGCTTGACTTCTTCCCAGTGTGAATGGCCTCTTGCTGAAGTAATACTGAAATGGCCAAAAAGTCCTTCCCACTCTGACTGAAGACAGATGACTCCTCTGACACATGGAACTTACACCTCTTCACAAACAACGCTTCCTCAACACTGATTCTATAGGGTTTCTCTCCAATGTACTGATTCTGGTGCTGATGAAAGATTGTACTGTCATATGATTTACTCCCCCATGCCTCACACCTGTGCTCTTTCTGCTTGTGATGTGTTCCCTGATCTGCCATGTGCAAAATGTCCCCCAAGATCGAACCATGCATCTCACAGGGGTGAGCCTTCTTGGAGGACACACCTGCTGTAGGAGTCCTGACCTGAGTCTCTCTTTGCACATAAATACTCTGCTTAGAAGGTGCCTCCTCATCTTCCACTCCACACCAACAACCTGAAAGCAAGAAAATGCTGGTGAAGTGCATGTTAACTCTAGTGGGAAGGCACAGACCACCCACAAGTGTATCTGAGGAACTGAGGAATTACTCCAAGGAAATATTTTGAGGAACAGAATGTTGGCTTCAGATGAAAGATGGTGCTATTTATTATTACTGGACTATAAAGGTCACAGAATGTAGTAGGCGTCATCATGTAAAGGGCACCATATGTAACACAGGAAGTAAAGGCAGGGTTTACAATTCCTGCATCTGCAAACCACTCATCTACAGGACTTTATCTCCTGATGACATGTGAGTACTATACAGAGGGATTTGTCCAAGCTAAAAAAAAAGACTAGCATAACATAGCAGCTTTTGGTCAAGGACAGTTTAACAAACTGTATATATTTGCTAACACAAAACCTCTATGCCAATACTGGAGACCACTGCAGATGGCAACGTATGTAAAATAAATGAGATGTGGGGTAGTGGGATGTGAAGACTAGATAGGAGAATGGATATTAGGGTACAAGTTCATGTACAAATAGGTCAAAGGGTAAAAAAGAAAGAGTAGAAGTGATAAGGTATACAAGTGTGATGCTCTCAAGAATGGGGAAGAAAAGACAGAATATATGTGTGCCTACTTCCCTTGCCACAAAAATACTACTAAAATAGAGTTAAGTTTCTGGTATGACGTCAATAAAGCCCTGACTCTATGACCTCTTCAAAGTGCCACTCTTCCTTTTTTTTTTTTTGTGACCAAGTCTTGCTCTGTCACCCAGGCTGCAGTGCAGTCGTGCGATCTCAGCTCACTGCAGCCTCCGCCTCCCAGGTTCAAGTGATTCTCCTGCCTCAGCCTACTGAGTAGTTGGGATCACAGGTGCCCACCACCATACCCAGCTAATTTTTTTTATTTTTAGTAGAGACAGTGGTTTTACCATCTTGGCCATGGTGGTCTTGAACTCCTGACCTCATGATCCACCCGCCTCAGCCTCCCAAAGTGCTGGGATTACAGGCGTGAGCCACCGCGCCCGGCCTAGGGATCCACTCGTAAGGGACTCATTCCTTCTGAGCCCATTATGCTGAGGCTGAATTCAGTTGCATCTTCAAGATCATAGAGGATTGTGCATACCACCACAAAGATGACCAAATACATGGGAAATGGATAATGTACAGACTAAGGGAAAGACAGAACAAGGGAACAGCCAACATTGTCTCAGAACAACTCTGCACATGAAAGCCCACTGGAGAAAAAAACTGAGTATTTCAAGGAGAATTTCTAAAGAGGGTCTTGCAAGAACAGCCTCTGGTCTATGTAGGCAGTAATGTAGTCTGTGAAGGCAATTCCTGCCACAGGCAGGCATAAGAAAATAGCAGCTAGAGAAAGGAAGTAGACTCTGCGTACACAGTAACCTGATATCTAGACAAGGACACCCAAACATCTACAGGACTAACAAGGTGGGCTTCTAACTATGAATCCCTCCCTGAGAGCTTGTAGTAAGGCAGGTGTTGGGGCTGCTCCAAGAAAGGAGAATGTCAGTATGCACACCTCAGTCCTACCAACCAAGAGCCTACCCATAGAACTGAAGTAGGAAGCTGTGCCCATGCTCTGGACATGAGAAAGTCTTGCCAATGGGGAAAGGGGGAAGGACAGAGACTAGCTCAGGTCACAAGGGTGAGTGTGGGCAACTTACCCAGGGAGGATGTAAGTGCCAAGTTCTCCAGCATCACATCACGGTACAAGCATCTCTGAGCCTCACTAAGGAGATTCCATTCCTCCCAGGTAAAGTTCACAGCCACGTCTTCAAAAGTCACTGTGCCCTGTTATGATGTTGACAGATGAAACTACAAACCACACCTATACTGAGGTATCACAGTCCATCTCTCCCACATCTACTTTTGCACATTCTCCTCTCAAGGTCCTCAACTCGTAAGAGAAACTAGTACCGCGAACAATAATTAGTTGAACAAATAGGTATCTATGCTGTGATTGTGACATTAAGAGTCCACCCGCTCCTGACAGGCACTTCCACTAGTATGGCTGAGGTCATGGAAAGCCCAGTGTAGCACCTTCAACACATAAGACAGACATACTCTCTCAAAATGCATATCATTCTTTACACTTCCCTGGCACATATCCATGTCAATACCCGGCTGACTGCCACACACCACTGGCCTCTCTCTGCCCTTTAAACACCTGAAAAGTATCTTAATGTCTACCTTTTTCTTCTACCAGTGTGGGTGGAAATCTCCCCCTAGGGTTTTATAATCCTGGTAAAACAAATGACATCTGATACTCTACAGATGTCATCAAGAGCAATTTACAAATCAAATATATTGAGCTGGACGCGGTGGCTCACATCTGCAATCCCAGTACTTTGGGAGGCTGAAGCAAGTGAACTGCCTGAGGTCAGGAGTTTGAGACCCGCCTGGCCAACATAGTGAAACACCATCTCTACTAAAAATACCAAAGAGGCCGGGCACGGTGGCTCAAGCCTGTAATCCCAGCACTGTGGGAGGCCGAGGTGGGTGGATCACGAGGTCAAGAGATCGAGACCATCCTGGTCAACATGGTGAAACCCCGTCTCTACTAAAACTACAAAAAATTAGCTGGGCATGGTGGCGTGTGCCTGTAATCCCAGCGACTCAGGAGGCGGGGGCAGGAGAATTGCCTGAACCCGGGAGGCGGAGGTTGCGGTGAGCCGAGATCGCGCCATTGCACTCCAGCCTGGGTAACAAGAGCGAAACTCCGTCTCAAAAAAAAAAAAAAATACAAAAGATTAGCTGGGTGTGGTTGGCGGGCGCCTGTAATCCCAGCTACTCGGGAGACTGAGGCAGGAAAATCGCTTGAAACCAGGAGGCAGAGGTTGCAGTGAGCCGAGATTGTGCCATTGCACTCCAGCCTGGGCAACAAAAGTGAAAATTTGTCTCAAAAAAAAAAAAAAATTCAAACAATAGCCTGATAAGAGGGACACCACTCACCACAAAGTGCCACATTGTTGTTGTATGGTGGATAAGAGACAGCAACCATGGCCATGGCATGCAAGCTTTTTAAGATGAAGAGGGCATAATGGCCTGATTCCCTCAGGAGGATGCCACTGACTTCTCTGAATAACTCTGGACGTAGACATAGAATTGAAATTCACTACAAAGTACAACAGAAACCTGCCTGGTCCCATTGAGGGAAAGGTGTCAGAGGCTAGGATATCTTACTTAAGAGAGTGAAGTGGCCGGTCATGGAGGCTCACACGTGTAATCCCAGCACTCTTGGAGGCTGAGGTGGAAGGACTGCTTGAGCCCAGGCGGTCAAGATGGCAAGAACCCATTTCTAACACACACACACACACACACACACACACACACACACACACACACACAGAGAGAGAGAGAAAAAAAAATTGAATATATAAAAAGAGAGTAGAATGGGAAAGAAACTTGCACTCAGGCCATTTGTGGTTCTATCAATATGACCAGCATTCAGGTGGCAAGTTACACTGGGCCTTCACTTAATTTCGTATTACTGGAAATGGCACTAAAAAGGGATGGAGAGTCTTGAGTTGCCAATGCCTCCTGTCCCCATAACCCATCAACAGCCTCCTGGTGTGGAGAATCTGTGCTCCTGAGAAGGGAGAGCACAGTGATTGTCAGACTTTGCACAGAACTCAGTGCTTCTCAGTCACAGTGGAAAGCAAAACTGGGCTGAACTCAACTGACACCTACCCAAGGAATGACCATATAGACCAGCCCAGCCAGAGGGGAATCACCCACCCCAATGGTCAGAACTTGAGGTCTGGCAAGACTTGTCACTGTGGGCTGGAGGGCTCTGAAGCCCTAAATAAACTTGAAAGGAAGTCTAGGCCACAAGAACTGCAACCCCTGGGCATGCCCTGTGCTGAGCTGTGCTCAGAGCCAGTGGACCTGGTTGGGCTGTGGAAACACAGCCTACTGAGATGCCAGCTGGAATAGCTAAAGGTGTGCTTGTACCACTCCTCCCCCCAACCCCAAGCTACACAGCCACTTCTTTCCACTTGAGAGAAGACAGGGAAGAGCAAAAAGAACTTTGTCTTGCATTTTGGATACCACATCAAACACAGGATAGGGCACTGGACAGGGTTGTGAGGCCCCATTCCAAGCCCACTCAGATAGTAGCCTTGGCCGGTGGATGACATTGCTGGACCTGCCCTGAGTCTTGAAGAGTGAGCCTTAGACCAGGCAACATTCACCACAAGCTGACTAAAGAGCTCTTAGGCCTTAGTGGAACATCAGTGGCAGTCTGACAGCACTTGCTGTGGGCCCATGGTGGTGGTGGGCCAGAGTGAGGCTTGTCTGCCTATGGGAAGGGAGGGAAGAGTGAAAAGGACTATATCTTGTATTTGAGTGCCAGCTAAGCTACAGTGCAAAAGAACACCATGTAGATTTCTAAGTTTTTTACTCCAATCCCTGACTCACGGATGGCATCTCTATACCAACCTGAGGTCTGCGGGAACTTACCGTCTAAGGAGGATATAAGCCTGTCTGGCTTTGCCACCTGCTGACTGTACAGGGCTAGGGCCTTGAGTGAACCCAGGCGATAGCCATGTGCTGCTTACAAGAGCCTTGGGTGAAACCCAGTGCTGTGCTGGCTTCAGCACAGTCCCAGTGGTAGTGGCTGAAGGGGTACTTCTGTCTCAACCCCCAGTTTCAGGCAGTTCAGCACTGACAGAGAGACTGGGACAAGGTGAGGAAAGACCCAACAAGAGTCTCTACCTGTTCTTTTTGTTTGTTTTGAGATGGAGTCACTCTGTCACCAGGCTGGGGTGCAGTGGTGTGATCTCGGTTCACTGCAACCTCCACCTCTCAGGTTCAAGCAATTCTCCTGCCTCAGCCTCCTGAGTAGCTGGGATTACAGGCATCCCCCACCACGCACAGCTAATTTGTGTATTTTTAGTAGAGACAGGGTTTTACCATGTAGGCCAAGTTGGTCTCAAGCTCCTGACAGGTGATCCATCCACCTCAGCTCCCCAAATTGCTGGGATTATAGGTGTGAGCCACTGTGCCCGGCCGAGTTTCTACCTGTTAATGCAGGGAATTCTTCCAGATTTTATCCAAGACCACAAAGGTGGTATAGCTCTCTGAGTCTCCAAGAGCCACAGTATTACCACAGCTTTATCTATTTTAGGTTACCCCTAAAGTAGATAAAGCTCAAATCACAACACCCAAGCCCCTTCAAATGCCTGGGAAGCCTTCCTGAAAAGGACAGGTACAAATGAGCCCAGACTGTGAAGACTACAATAAATACCCAACTTTTAATGCCCAGACACTGACAAACATCTACAAGTATCAACACCATCCAGGAAAAGGTGACCTCACCAAGCAAACTAAATAAAGCATCAAGTACCAATCCTGGAGAAAGAGAGATATGTAACCTTTAAGAGAGAAAATTCAAGATAGTTATTTTGAGGAAATTCAAGATCAACATGGAGAAATAATTGAGAATTCTATCAGACAAATATAGCAAAGAAATTAAAATAATTAAAAAGAATTGGCCTGGCGCAGTGCCTCACGCCAGTAATCCTAGCACTTTGGGAGGCCGAGGTGAGCGCATCACCTAAGGTGAGGAGTTCGAGACCAGTCTAACCAACATGCAGAAACTCAGTCTCTACTAAAAGTACAAAATTAGCTGGGTGTGGTGGCACATGCCTGTAATCCCAGCTACTCGGGAGGCTGAGGCAGGAAAATCTCTTGAACCAGGGAGGCGGAGGTTGAGGTAAGCTGAGATGGCGCCATTGCACTCCAGCCTAGAAAACAAAAGTGAAAATCTATCTCAAAAAAAAAAAAAAGCTGGCACGGTGGCTCATGCCTGTAATCCCAGCACTTTGGGAGGCTGAGGCAGGCGGATCATGAGGTCAAGAGATCGAGACCATCCGGGTCACTCCATCTCTACTACAAATACAAAAATTAGCTGGGTGTGGTGGCTCACGCCTGTAGTCTCAGCTACTCAGGAGACTGAGGCACGAGAATTGCTTGAACCTGGGAGGCAGAAGTTGCAGTGAGCTGAGATCACACCATTGCACTCCAGCCTGGGCAACAAGAGCGAAACTCTGTCTCAAAAAAACAAAACAAAACAAAACAAAGGCCGGGCATGGTGGCTCACACCTGTAATCCCAGCACTTTGAGAGGCCAAGGTGGGCAGATCAACTGAGGTCGGGAGTTCAGGACCAGCCTGATCAACATGGAGAAACCACGTCTCTTAAAAAAAAAAAAAAAAAAAAAAACACAATGCACATGCTGCCCAATGGCTTCTGGAAGTTCCTGGTCCACAACGTGAAGAAGCTGGAAGTGCTACTGATGTGCAACAAATCTTAATGTGCTGAGATCGCTCACAATGTTTCTTCCAAGAACCACAAAGCCATGGTGGAAAGAGCTGCTCAGCTGGCCATCAGAGTCACCAACCCCAATGTCAGCTGCACAGTGAAGAAAATGAGTAAACAGCTCATGTGCATAGTTTGTGTTTAAATAAAACTGTAAAAACTGCCAAAACAAAATAAATAAATAACTTTCAAGCTCAGCCGCGTGCAGTGGCTGTCGTCTGTAAACCTAGCACTTTGGGAGGCCAAGGCCAGTGGATCACTTGATGTCAGGAGTTCAAGACCAGCCTGGCCAATATGGTGAAACTCCATCTCTTCTAAAAATACAAGAACTGGTGAGGTACAGTGGCTTAAGCCTATAATCCCAGCACTTCGAAAGGCCGAGGCAGGCAGATCACAAGGTCAGTAGTTCAAGACCAGCCTGGCCAACATGGTGAAACCCTGTCTCTACTAAAATTACAAAAATTAGCCGGA